GAGGAGGAGGAGGACGAGCACCGGACGTCTGCGGTGGCGGCGGCCTCTCCCGGCAGCGGCGGCGGCGGCCGCGGCCGCGGCTGCTCCTGGCCTGCGGGCTCGGAGCGGCAGAGGCTGGCGGGCGGCGGGCACGCTGGCGGCGACGGCGGCGGCGGCCACGGCTGGGGGCGGCTCGGCGAGCTAAAGGCACGCTGACGCCGGCGGCGGCGGCCACGGCAGGGGGCGGCAGAGGCGGCGGCGGCGGGCGCTCTGACGCCGGCGGCGGCGGCCACGGCTGGGGGCGGCAGAGGCGGGCACGCTGACGGCGACGGCGGCGGCAGCCACAGCTCGGCGGCGGCCACAGCTGGGTGCGGTTCGGCTGGGGGGTTCTTTTTGATTCCTCTGGTTCGTTTCGATTTGATTTCGACGGATCCCGATTTCGATTCGATTCGGCTTCAGGCCTAGATGTGGCTTCCGATGTCTCGATGAGGCCTCACTGCTCCGCCGATTTCAGCCGATTCGACTCCTCCAGACTCGGCTGCCGATTCCCGCCGATCCGATTCATGTCGATCGCCGATTCGACTTACAGATTCGATCCTCGGGGATTGGCGGCGAAGTAGTTTGGCATATATATATATATATATATATATATATGACCAGCTCGAGGAGGTCGCCCCGTGGCCCAGGAGAAAAACAGAGCAGCAGGGGGAGGCAGAGCAAGACGAGGAGCAGCAGCAGCAGCAGCAGCAGTGCAAGCGGGCCGACGCGGCCGGCCGCCGCTGCCTGGCGCCCCGGCGCTGCCGTGCCAGGGCTGCCAGGTCGACGTGCCCCGGCAGCCGTGGCACACGAGTCTGCGGGCCTCCCTGTCGTCAGTGGGCCGCGGCTCGAGGGTCTAGCCGGGTGCTGCCTGCGCTGCTCTCCCCGTCGGGCCTCCAGGGGGATCTTCGGTGTGCCACGGCTGGATTCCCGTCGAGACTGTGTCCAGAGCGCTCCCTGGGAGAAGGAGTCCAGCTCCGCAGCTGCAGGCGAGCCAACCTCGTGCGCGGAGCCCTTGATAAGCGCAAGGGAGGCCGGCATCCCAAAATCTGATCGGGGCGACGTGTCGTCAAATTGATAGGCTTTCCGCAGGGATAGAGATCTTCGAATCTTGCCACGAAGCTAGGGAAATGGATGCGCGCTGCAGAATCAGATCGTTTCTGGGGTGTGATTCTCGACAGCCAGACCAAGACCCCCCCGCGTCGCAAAGAAAGCTCGACGGGAGATGATCGGCAGTGTTCAGTTTCTGTGGCGGGGCCCTTGGTGCGCATTCTGCACGCATGAGTCCCCACCTCCCTCCTGTTCTCTCGCTGCTCTTCTCTTGGCCCTCCTCGGAGGGACGTTGTCTGAGGACACCAGCGTCATAGACAGGAGTAGCGCGCGCCGCTGGGCTCAAGGCACGCGCACCCCGTCTGACTGTAATCACTTTGTATTTCCCCTCCCTCACCCCCGTCCTCCTCATCCGATACCCTCTCCATCCGACGAAGAACAACTGCACAAACAGAACGTTTTGGCGCTCCGAGAGGATCTCTTGGATCCGCGCTGGGCACCCCCCCGCGACGCCTCCAGCGCCGCCCCCCAGCGTGCTCCGCGGGCCAGGGAGGGGGGTCCAGCGCAGATCCAAGAAATCCGCGCGGAGCGCCAACATTTATGTTTATGGCGTTGTCTTATTCTTATTATTCTTCTTCTATCCATGGCCTCGTCTTACGTGCACTGAGGTTGCAGACGGGCGCGGACCGCGCCTTGGATGCAGTGGTCAACAAGGCATCGTTTTGCCTGGCGTGCCCCCCTTTTGCCCAGACACCACGGAGCCGTGCAGAGGGAGCACCTTTCCCTGCCAAGCCGTGCCCTCCACTCCCTGCATCGTCTTATCTCTTCCTCTCTCCTCAACCCCTTCCCCCCCTTCTTTCCTCCTCCCTCATTATGCTCTCTCTCTCTCTCTCCCTTTCTCTCTCCCCCCCATTCTCTTCCACTGTTCTCCTCGTCCTTCCCTCCTCTCTCCTTCATGTTGCTCGTTGCCTATCGGGATGAAAACATTCAGCTGGAGAGGCGCAGACTGCTGCAATGAGTCCGGCCGACACAGTGCTCCCCTCCTCACCCTGAAATTTAGACAGTTTGTTGTGTGAAGGGGGGGCTGGTGGCAATGGGGGACATTGGGGTCCGATTGTTGTTTTCGTGTCGTTCGTCCTGTCACCTTCTCCCCTCATCCCTTCCTGCGTTTCCCGCCTTGTCTCTTCCTTGTGTGCCTCCCCTGCCTCCCCCTTCATCCCCCCTTTGTATCCCTCTCTTCCGTCGCCGTCGTGTGCCCCATTCTCCCCCCGATTCGCAGTACGGGTCGCTCGTTCGCCACCTCCTCTGTCTCCTGCTCGTTCCCCTCCCTTCCTGTCAAGTCAGAGGGCTGCCCTGGGCAAGCTGCTCGAGAATGGACCCCCATGCGCAACACGCCCGTTTACGGCATACAGTCGGGGCCCTGAAGAAGGAACCCTTTTCGTTGGGGAGGGGCTCCGTTTCCTTTATTGTTTCGCAGCTTGCCTCAGGTTGTCCTTTTGTTTTCGATGGGAAATCGAAGTTTAACTCATGGAAAATAGGGGCCTCGTTCCTTATGAAGGGTTCCTTAGGTCAACGCCTCGACTGTACCGCACAGATCTGCGCCGAGGGTCTGGGTGCTGCGTGGGGAAGGGAAGCCGTGCCTCATAGGTGTCGCACTCCTCCCTGCCGGCACACGCCATGCGGGGCGCCTGCGCGCCCGGCTGCTCATATATTAGCTGCAGTACTCTTCTTTTGAGAAGTATTACCCTCCACCTCATCATCATCATCGTCACCATCAGCATCCTCAATCCTCCATCCTCAATGCACTTCCTCGTCCTCCCCATCAGTATCCTCATCAGCCCTCCTCCTCCCCATTTCGTCCTCCTCCTGCTTCTCCGTCTTACCCTCATCCTCCTCCTCGTCGTTTTCCATTTCGATATATTTGAGTTTCCCTCGTCCTTCCGCAACCAACTCCCCACCTTCTCCCCCTCATCGTTTCCCCTCGTCCTTTTCCCCTCCGTCCCCCGTCCCCGCGCCCCTCATCGCCCATTCGTGCTCTGAGGCGAGAGCCGTCAACGGCACCCTCGTGGCCGAGGTCGCTTGCGCTGCAGAGGGGCGAATGAGGAGGTGGAGAAAAGGGTGAAGCGGATTAGGAGGAGGAGGAGGAGGAGGAGGAGGCGGGATGATGATGATGAGGAGGAGGAGGAGGAGGAGAGACGGATGGCGATGAGGAGGAGGAAGTGGAGAAGGAGGAGGGCTAGTGTAAACAAGAGTGTTCGCGGTTCCATCGGCTCAGCTGCGCCGCAGCTAGTTGCGTTCGGTCGGCTCGGCGTGGTCGGCTCATTGTGACGTTGTTGCTGGGCTGCTTGCGGCCTGTCGGTTTTCAGCTTTGCTGTCGCTGTGGACGGCCTTTGGGCAGTGAGGGTGCATCAGCGATGTTGAAGTACACCATCCCGGCCCAAGTCCTCTAGTAATACGTCTCTGCAGACAATTCGCTTCACTGCGGGAAGCCCCGCCCCCCTCCAAGATGGCATTGAAGAGGAATCACCATCCATCGCGCCAGCTGCACAACATGAGTGTGCGTACGGTTGTAGCGTGTCAGTGGATGTCCACTTGAAGCCCGTGGTGACACAGAACCGCCCTCCAACTAAGTAGTTGCTTTACAATGACATTTCTGCTCATGAAGAATGAAAAGGACACAGGCGAAAACCCCATGTGACGATCGCCACTAAAGCACTAAAGCCCCATGAAGAATTCGAACATCACAGGCGAGAATTGAAAGGTCAAAGGCGAGAATTAGAAGGTCACTGGCGGCCGTTCGTGACGATTCGGGCACCCCCAGAGCGTCCTCGGCGAGGCGCACCTGCTGGAGTGTGTCCCGGGGCTGGAAAAACTCTGGGAACCGACGATACCGTTCGAAACACCTTGATCTCTGAACTTCGAGGGGCGCCCTTCACTCCTCCTCCTCCTCCTCCTCCTCCTCCTCCTCCTCCTCCCTCCTCCTCCTCCTCCTCCGCCTCCTCCTCCTCCTCCTCGTCCTCCTCCTCCTCCTCCTCCTCCTCCTCCTCCTCCTCCTCCTCCTCCTCCTCCTGACCGCCTGCCGCCGCGGGTCCCTGGTCTCTGGCTAGTTTTGGCGCGCGCGCGCCCGGTGGGGGGACAGGCCGAGGCGCGCCTGAAGGTGGCCAAGAGCCCCCAGCAGCTGGAGGCGACCCTTTTCCCCCCCCCCCCGAAGCAAGAGGCGGCCTCTGCCACCAAGCGGCCTTTCGAGTGGGGATGGGGGGAGGAGGAGGAGGAGGAGGAGGAGGAGGCGGAGGAGGAGGAGGAGGAAGATGGGGGGAGGCGGAGGGGGAAGAGGAGGAGGAGATGGAGGAGGAGGAGGAGGAGGAGGACAAGGAGGAGGAAGGCGGGCGAAGCCGGAGGACGAGGAGGGAGGAGGGAGGGAGGCGGAGGAGGAGGAGGAGGAGGAGGAGGAGGACATGGAGGATGGGGGGGGGGGAAGGAGGAGGACGAGGAGGTGAGAGTTTGAAGACGAGGAGGATGAGGAGGAGGAGGAGGAGGGGGAGGACGAGGAGGAGGAAGGAGAGGGAGGGGCAAGGATTAGGATCAGGAGGAGGAGGGGGAGGCCGAATAGGATGAGGATGAGGAAGGAGGAGAAAGGAGGAGGAAGGAGAAGGATGGGGGCGTGCAATCGGAGGGGCGAGGGGAGCAAGTAGGATTACCAGAAGGATGATGCGAGGCAGAGGAGGAGCAGGCCGACCATGAGGGGATGATAAGCCTCATCATCATCCTCATCATCATCATCATCATCATCAGCAGCAGCAGCATCAGCATCAGCATCATCAGCAGCAGCATCATCATCAGCAGCATCATCAGCAGCAGTATCCAGCTCATTATTCACCACCATCATTCTTTTTCCACCTGTCATCCTCCGAACCACCCGTCTCGTTCTCACACGCCATGGCCCCATGCTGTGTGCGCTCATCGACATCTCCCTCGTCATCCGCCCTCCATCCCCCCTCCATCCCCCTCCATCCTCGTTAATCCTCCCTCCTCCTCCTCCTCCTCCTCCTCCTCCTTCTCCTGCTCCTCCTCGTCCTCCTCTTCCTCGTCAACATCCTCCTTCTCCTCCTCCTCCTCCTCCTCCTCCTCCTCCTCCTCCTCCTCCTCCTCCTCTTTGTCATGCTGCTCGTCCTGGTTCCCATCCTCCATCCCTCAAGTTCCATCGTTCCCTTCGATCCGCACTCCGCGCCTCCAACCCTCGTCATGTTCATCGGTGTCCTCCCCCCGGCCTCCCTCATCCTGTCTCCCAGGCATTCCCCCCTCTTCCCCGCATACCTCCTCCACATCCGCACGCTCCTTCTGGTCCTCCTCCACCGTCCTCTTCATCCTGGCCAGGACGCTGCCTTCTCCCCCTCCGGCTCAACGCTCCTCCTCTCGCGACCTGCTGCTTCCTCTTCTCCTGACCCTCCCCCTGTCCCCCTTCGCCTCCACCGCCTCTCCCGCATTGTTTGTTTTTCGGCAAGCTGTTGGGTCTCAGGGGCCCGACGCGTCAGAGGTGGCCGCTGCAGCAGCAGCAGCAGCAGCCACAAGAGCAAGAAAGGCGTGCCTTGCAAAGGACAGCAGGAGCTCTCGGAAACATCGCGACAGTCGCCAGCAACAGCTCGTCCAAGGCAAGGCAGATGCAAGACGAGAGACCCCTCAATCACCCTCCCTCGACAAGACAGCATATCCACGGACAGTGCAGCACAAGCGAGAGGGACAAGGACATAAAGGACAGTGGCAGATGGTGAAGATGGAGATGGCAGAGCTCGAGGGGGAGACTGCGGCGTCCGCGCCTGCCACCGAGCCCCTCCAGGGCCAGAAGCGATCCGAGGCGGCTCAACCGTAAGATCCTCGTGCATAAGACTCGCTCGAAAGCCATGGACGACCCCCTCCGCCTGATCTTGCCGCTGCGTCGCCAGCCTCCTGTTGATGCCATTCTAGCAGTCAGGCCGAAACGCTAGGCCTCGTGCTCGATCGAGTGTGGGCCCACGGGTTCCTTCCCCACCGCCTGCGCCTCATCCTCATCACACCTCCTCCTTGAGACACTGCGTTAAAAGGATTGGATGGACAACAAGAGGGAGGAATAGGGAAGATTGCGAGCAAAAAGAAGGCCAGGCGACCACGACTGACAGCCAGGTGCGGCAGCGGCTGGCGAAGTCGGCTTGCTCGCGCCTTGCCGCCCTCACCCTTTGCAGCGCCCCCGATATTCCACCTACCGATGCCCGAGCCTTCGGATACGTGCCCACTCCAGGGGCGGACACGGGGGCGCTGCAGTGGGGCGGGCTTCCCGACACTAACATCCACCCCTCATTATGAAACTCCCCCACCTCGACTTCGCAGCTCCGTACACGAAGCGCGCGCGACGCTCACGCCAGCCCATTCGGGCCAAGGGCCGCGAATACTGTCTGAAGAGCTCGGATGGGACGAACCTCTAGACTTCAGCAGAACCTGAGCACGGCAGCACAAGCTGCGGTTCCGCCGCTGCTGTCGGCGAACTCGCAACTCCGTACACGAAGCGCGCGCGACGCCCACACCAGCCCGTTCGGGCCATGGGCCGCGAATACAGTCTGGAGAGTTCGGGCTGCACTAACCTCCAGACTTCAACAGAAAACCGAGCACGACAGCACTATTCTGCGGCTCCGCGGCTGCTGTCGGCGAACGCTGGCCCAAAACGGCGAGCATCCCCGCCTGGCCCCCAAACGCCACCCAAACCTCCCTACCATCACAACAGCATAACGCACGCAGAGTAAAGCAGGCCAAGCAGAGCCACCGCTGGACGGCCCTCCTTGGAAACTCTCCTCCCGCCACCTCCAACACCGCCTCCTCCGCCTCCTCCATGAGCGGTCGCCTCCGGCCACCCAGCTGCGGCGCCCGCCGGCCACCTAGCTGCGGCACCGCACGGAAGGCTGGACCAAAGATGGAAAGGTCGAGAGCCTCCTGCATCCAGAACGGCGAACCAGTGCAACCGCCTCGAGCGGTCGACGGTGAGAGGCTGGCCACGGCGCTGGACACAGGCTCAGCCAGAGTCACGGTCTCCCAATTCGTCTGCAGCGACACTCGCCCTACAGTCTCGCCCCTCCTCTACCTCCACTCCTCCACTGCCCCACATCCTCCGTGAAGAGAGGGCAAGTGTCTATTCTGCGCAATGCAGCCAAGAGGGTAGATGCCTGGCCCTCGCCGACTACACGATGCACGGCATTCCAGTTGACAGATGTTGGCGCAAGGCAGCGCTGCACGACGATCGGCAGTGATGAAGACAATCTGCAACCGCGGCGCGAGGGAAGCCGTCACGTGCACGAGGGGGCAAGCACAACGCTGTATCAGGCATGGAATGCGGTCTCGTTCATGCAACACTTGGCCAGCTTCTCCAGAGTAGTCTGACGCGTCTCCTCGGCCATGTCCGGGATGACAGTGCCGAAGACGTACGCCGTGGCTGGGACGGCAAGGCACTGGAACCTGAATGCCGCCGACGAAGAACGTGCAGGAGCTCGTGCAGCACAGATTCCCCACGACGGTGCAGTGGGGGTCGGCGTTCCCAGGCAGGGCGTCCGGAGTCACCCCAGCGCGGCGAGGCCGCGGCGGCCTCTGGCCTCTCGGCCGATTGGTCTGCAAGCACCTGCGGAGCCGGCTTCGGGCAGCTCTGCCGCTCGCCGGAGGCCGGCGGGGAGGGGGGCTGTAGCTCGACGAGGGAGATCCCCCACAGAGAAGAGTCCTGTCCCCCAGAAAAATTGTGCTTCCCGCCGAGGCTGCGAAAAAATGGGGAAGGCCCTGTTGAGATCTGCGGAACATGCAACGCATTCTTCGCAGATCCCCCGCGCGGCCGCAGCCCCGGGAGCCGCCGGCCCGGGGCCTGGGGCGCGTGTCCGGGCCCTGCGCCCCGTCTACGGGCGCGGGCCTGTATGAGGCGGGCGGTGGCGCTGGAGCTGGGACTAGCTGGCCGCAGCGGGCCGAGCCGCGGGGGTGGTAAAAAAAAAAATCCATCCTGCAGTCGATCCCCTGCTCGCAGAGTGTGTGCCCCCCCCCGCGCCCTGCCTCGGAGGAGGGCGAGTCGCGACCACGGCGGCGGGTGTCACCGGGGGCTGCCGCAGAAGGGGGGAGTCCAGGGGTACAGTCAGGGCCCTGGAGAAGGAACCCTTCTCGTTGGGGAGGGCCTCGGTGCTCCTTGATTGTCGTACAGTTTGCCCTGGGTATTGCCTAGGGCTTCGACAGGGAATCGAAGGCTAACTTATGGAAAAAAGGGGCCCCGTTCCTTATTGCGAAGGCCTTACGGCCGGTGCCGCCGACCCTGAATGGCGACGACGACGACGACGACGACGACGACGACGACGACGACGACGACGACGACGACGACGAGCGCTCTTGGGGGCCTCTTGGGGGTAGTTTGTGGGCCTCTTGGGGAGCTCTTAGGGGCCGCTTGGAAGCCTCGTGGGGCCTCATGGGGCTTCCTGGGGGTCTCTTGGAGGGGGCCTGGGACGTCTTGGAGGCTCCTTGGGGCTCGTTAGGACAAGGCCCCGACTGTAGCCCCCCCGCCCTCTGCAGCGCCTGCGGCCGGGCGCCTCGCGGCCGCCGCCCGCGCGTGGGGCCCCACTCTTGGCGACCCCCACCCCCGCGCGGGCCGCGGCCGCCTCTTCCGCCTCCGCCTCCTCCCTTCTTCGGGGGCGGCAAAGAGGGGGGTGATGTCTAGGGGGGGGGATATCATGGCGGGGGCCATGATCTTTCTCCAGACCTCATGGCGTCCCTCCCTCTGCACGAAGGAGATGGGCACGGAAAGCATGGGCCAGCAGGGCGCCAGGCACCCCACCGCGGCAGGTGGGAGCCTCCCGCGGCCGGCCCCCCCCCCCCCCCTTCGGCGCAGGCCGCTTGGACCTCTGGAGTCACGGCCCCCGCACAGTGCGGAGCTCGTGCCAACACCGTTGACAGAACATCAAAAAAACAAAAAAATACAAACAACAACAAAAAACAATACAGAAAAACAAAAAAACACTCACGTGGTGAGTTGAAGAAAAAACAAACAACAAAAAAAACAAAAAAACAAAAAAACAGCAGTGCCGGTTCATTTTGAGCAGGACTCGCTGTCCGCGCCGCCGCGGCCCGTGTCCCTTTGAGGCAGGAGGCCGCCTCTGCCTTGCAGCGGCCGCTGTTGGTTTGGGACAGCGTTTGTTC